CACGGCCTCGGCCAATACTGATTCCAACTTTATCAGTGGGGAGAAAACAAACATTTTGAATGCAGTGTGTATTCTTTTCATCTGGAGGCTGCACTTGGAGCAACCAGGAGGCTCCCTTGGAAGGATGTCCACTTTCTCTCCCATCACATGCTTCAGGAACGTTTCACTGACTGCTTGCTCTCAAGGTTAGAGTTTTTTTTCTTTTTTCGCAGCATGGGAGGTAAAACACCATAAAAAACGACCCCACCCCTAACTGTGGCATGACCACAGGCACTGGAGACTCCAAAGACAACTCACCCAAGCACAGCTGAGGCACCTGAGGGCACAGTCGCCCATCTCCAGCGGGCAGCGAGGCGGCAGCGCTAACTGCGACTCCCGGAGCAATACGGTGTGCCATATGGCTCCAACTGGATATTAAAATTGAGAATATCAATTACCAATCCACTAATGCTGAGAGCCAGAATCCACGGACAGTAAGAATTTAATCCAATTCAGTGCCCAGAGCACGAGCTGAGCCCGACGTGCCGGGGGACAAACCTAGCGGTGCTTCCACAGCAAACAACTCCCATTTCTCGGGCAGGAACCAGAAAAGCGGCTCAAGGTAACACTTCCTTCCCATCCCTGCCCACAGCTCCAGCCTCACGGCACCAACTGACCTCAGATGGACTGGCATCTGCTGGGGTAGGCATTGAGAAACCAGAACTGAGTAACTGCTGAAGAAGGAACAGTTCAGTTTTTTCCACATGACCAAACCTAGGGCTCCCGAGCCCCAGGAAGTTGTTGCACAGCTGCAGCCAACATCTTGCCTCAGTCCAGGAAAAGGCACCCTACAAACACCAGAGATAGGTGGGTATTTCTGCTGCAGTTACACTGATTGCATCAGTTGGAAGGGTTTTCTTATTCTGAGCAAACTCGTTTAATGGCTCTAGTTTTCAAATTCTTCATAGCTGGGGAGTGTTTCTTCCTGGATGGTATTAAGTGTTTCTTCCTGGATGATGTTAAGTGGTTCCTCTCGGATGATATTAAGAAGGAGGCTCCACAAAATCCTGCACACTCCCTAATTGTACAGAACTTCACTGATTTCTTACACAAAGAAGAATTCTCATCAAGTCCCAATACAACATCCTCAGGTTTCCAAGAGGCATGGAGGCGATTTAAAACCTGCTCTGCTGAGACTTCCTGTGGAATTTTAATTTACCATGTTGTCAAAGATTTCATGGTAGGATGCCTGCTACGTACTGACTGGGCAGCTGCAAGGACTCAACAAGGATAAATGTAATTTATCTTATCCAAAACAGAATCCCACTTCACTCTGCTCCTTTCTGGTCCTGTGCTGAAAGGCC